CTGGGTGGGGAAGATCCCCTGGAAATGGAAATGGCAACCCACTCCAGTATTCTTTCTTGGGAAATCCCATGGACAGAGAAGCCTGGTGGGCTACAGCCCATGAGGTCGCAAAGAGTTAGATACAACTGAGTGCACATGTGCATAAAAATGTGTTAATGGAGTATTAAATATATTCATATTGTTGTGTAATCATCACCACATCCATAACCATAACTCTTTTCATCTTGTATAACTGAAACTCTGTTTCCATTAAATATAATAACTTCTCATTTCTTCTTTCTCCCAGCCCTTGGCAGCACCTGATGCCTGTCTGTAATTTTGATTGCTCTAGGTATATACACAGAAGAATTGAAAATAATGTCTTGTTATCAAGCAGAGGGCTTGCTGCCCAAATTTGCATATAAGCCAATACTGTGGCACCAGCTTTTGAGAAGAGAAAGGGCTTTATTGTGAGGTTTAACTGGCAAGGAAATGAGGAGGCGTGGCTCTCAATTCTGTCTCTTCATTCTGGGCTTTGATGAAATGTTCATGAGTTAGAAGAAAAGGGTGGTTTGCAAAAGCCCTGGAGGGGCAGGTATCCAGGGCAGGGCTTTGGAGCCTGTCCATTTGTGGTGAGGTTAGGTTCAGTGGCTTTAGAACCAGATCTTCCTGCCCCATGGACCCTGCACTTCTGACAGGGTTCTGGTCACATCTGGCCCTTTCGTTCCGGGGAGGGGGGAAGCTTTGGTTCTGGGTGTTACTTGAGGTCAAATTTTTCTCTTCTGAGCATGCTTTGGCTGCATGACTTGTGGTTTTGTTCTGTTTGTCTCTGAAAAACAACTCAGTATCATCTTGTTAGAAACAGGATAGGGCCAGTTTGGGCTGGTTCTGCAATTATAGTCTCAAAGAGATACTTACATACCTATGTTCATAGCAGCATGAGCCACAGTAAGTAAAAAGTGAAAGTAATTCTTGTCCGTCAACAGATAAATAAGCAAAATGAGGTATGTACATACAATGGAATATTATTTAGCCTTAAAAAGGAAGGAAATTCTGACAGATGCTACAATGTGGATGAACCCTGAGTAGCATGGATGAACAGTGAGCTGAGTAAAATAAGTCATATAATTTAAGCTTATTTTTAATGTTCTTCAAACATGAAAAACTATTTAAAATATTATATTACTGTTAAACTGCCTTGCCAGCAGGGAACATAATTTATTCAGTTCTGTGGGATGTAAATTATGATTTATAAATATCCATGAATATGCTGTGTTTTCTTTTGAATTTTTAGAGTTAGATATTAAACTTGAATATTCTAGACTTATTTCCCCACTCCTGAGTCTGATGGTTTACTTTTTCTATCTAGGAGGAAAGTTTTATTTGAATTTTTTAAATCCTTATTTAAAAATTAGTTCATTTTAATACATTATTTGATTTTTAATTTTAGTCAGATTATTTTATTAACCTTTTAAAATTTTTGAGTGGCATACTCTTTTTTTCTTTAACAAGATGGATATTTATCTAATATTGGATGAGATGGAAATGAGGTTTGTTTAATTCAGATTAACATGCTGCTTAATGTTAATTGTTCATCGATAGAGAACTCAAAGTGCTTATGTGGTTAAGAGTTAGAACTTCTAGTGAATGTTGGTTCTGCTGCTGACTTCCTTTGTGGCTTTGAGAAAGATCTAACAACTCTAAAGATTTAGTGTTGGAATGTACACAAAATAGTTTGCCAGAAGCATTTGATAAAAGGCAAATTAACCATGTGGCGATTTTAAAAGACTATTTCATTTGATTTCATAAAATCACTTAATGCAAGAAGTTGTAAGTTATCTTTTTTTATTAGTGAATAAAAACATGGGGTCCAGAGTCAAACTAACAGAGATTTAGGTACCTACCACCACTCTGTAATCTTGGGCAAGTGTTTTACAACCCTAAACCTTGGTTTCTACATCTGAAAACTGGTTTTCATAGCAGGTAATATTTATTTACATGTGCCAGAATTTCTGCTAAACTTTTTAATTTTAGACACATTATTTTATTTGCTTCATATAATCACCTTATTCAGTAAATGCTGCATTATCCTCATTTCACAGATGAGGAGCTGGGGTACAGAAAAGTAGGTAACGTGATTAACTTGGTTTGTAAATAATCTTCGAGCTGCAGATTAAATCCTGCATCAATCTGTTCCCCAGTTCTGATTCCAAAATTCTAAAGTAAAATTTTGTGATTATAACAACTTGAGGATAGGCAGCCATGTCTTCTAATTTTTTTATATCCCATAGCTCTTAGTATCATATACATTTGAGAGTATAGTATACATTTGATATGTATTTATTGATTGTTTGGAATTTCTCTTAAAAAACATGTAGATATATTTATAAAAAAATAATGGCCACTTTCTCTAGGGGCTCGTTCTTTCTATTCTTTTTAAAAGTTGCCATTGAAGGGTAATTTTAGGACTTTCATTCTAAGACTCTTTTGTCTTCATGCTGGTATTTTTTAAAAACAAATAAGAAAGCTATAGAGAAGGCTGACCTCTCAAGAATTTTTGTGTGGGGAATTACTTAAGGCATGAAAAGTCCATAAACCATTTTTCTCTATTTCATTTTTTGTGTATTTTCAACAAACTGTACTTCCAGTTAGTAAAAGTTGGCAATTTATGTTTATACCAGGCCAAATTCCATTCTCATAAACTCAGAGTTCATTGGCCTTATTAAAGTCTAAAAGCCCTAATTGAGTATATTTTAGTAAAAATTATCTACTCAATTTGGGGCTCAGTTTACCTTAGAATATTTTTTAAGAGTAGCATTTAAGAGTAGTAGGTTTCATAACAAATCCTACAACATATATCCTTGTTTTTAAAAATAGCGTGTATGATTTTATTCTGATTATATCAATAATATATCTGTGAATGATGCTGACATCCTAGTTAACCCTTTACTCGTTAGAAGGTAATTCTGTAATATTTTGTCAAATAGTAGAGTATTTAAGTTTGTGTACAATGTAGATCATTGTACATTTCAGTAAATTTATTTATAAAATCATTGAATTGTTAAAGTGAGTGAATTTTTATGGTATGTAAACTGTACCTCAGTAAAACTGTTAAAAAATAAAACCATGCTAGGAGTTGACAGTTTTTTCAATTTTTTGCTAATTGGAAAACTCAGATGATGTAATTAATTTTCTTTATTTCATGGTGTGGCTATGCTTTGTTGCTATAGATAAATAACTGATTTACCAAAACTAATTTTTTTCTGAAGTATTTCAGGATGGAAAAATGTTTACTTTATTTTCTGGCAAAGAGCATACTTTCTTTTGTAATATAAGCTTGAAATTTATAAGACTCTTATAAAACATCTTGTTTCATTTATTTTTTTAACCCTCTTTTATGGACAGTTTGGATTATTTCCAAAGTTATAAAAAAGAATGGGTGTAAATTATTCCACATTGCTGATTGTTTGTTTACACTAGGTTACAAAATTGGAATGCATTATTTTTTCCATTGCTTTTTAAAACGTTGGTTTAACTTATCTATATAGCTTTGTTCTCATTTTAAAAAACAAAGTACTTATGGACCCTTTCCAATTTATTTATTGTCTGTTTTTTCTTTCTTTTGGGTTTTGATATTATTTATATTTTAAAATTACTTGTTGGGACAGTAACTTTTTCCATGAAACTTATTTTTAGGAAGACTTTTGTGTGTTCTTAAAGATATTTGGTATGTGTCTTCTCCAAAGGAGAATGATCCATTTAAAAATTTGACTATGTCCTGAAAAATTATTTTATGAAAGCTATCTTGCAAGTCTAATAAGGGCCAACTTTTTTAAAGATCTAATTAAGATGTTATAGAGATCAGTTAACTAATATTTGACAACATCAAGCGTTGGCAAGGATGTGAGGACCTAGAGACATTGTTGTAATTAAAAGGCACTTGAAATTTAAGAATTAATTGGGGTGGCTTGATTTCTCATTAGTTAAATCATCATGCACTTATTCTGTGACTTGAAACTATTAGACATTAGATGATGATAATAGTTGTCATTGTTACTGTTTTATATATACCAATATATAGTGCTTGCTGTTTTATCAGACACTGTCATCAAGACTTTACTTATAGCAACTTGTTTAATTCTATGATCCTATGAAGTAAAGACTACTACTTACCTTGTTTAACAGATAAGGAAAATAAGTCACACAGAGCTCACTCAAAAACACAGATCCCCAAGTAGACATTGTTCTTAACCACTTTATCATAATATGACTGCTTTCCTTTTCTTTTTTCTTTTTTTTCCCCTTTTCTTTTTTAAAAGAAAAGATTCATCTTGAAAGAATTAAAAAGTACTTAGTATAAAAAAATGAGAATACTTACTGCTAGAAGGATAAACATGTTCTTCCATTTCCTTCTGTATTTCTTCCTTGTTTCCATTTTGTTATGTTTTTATGTTATTTTTATGAGTAAGTGTTATTTCCAGTGACTGACAGAATCTGATTACTGATGCTTTTTCATAGACTTCTAGGCAGTTAGTTCAAACAGTGTTATTTGAATTTAGTCACATAATCTTTATTAGTACTTTTTAATGTGTATGATAGTTTATATCACTTGTCCATTTGCATTGGTTACACATTTTTGTGGGAATTCTTTATCTGCTGCTTAAAAGATACGGAGTGTAAATATACTTCGCATTTCCATCTAACTTTTGAAAAATCTGTATCATTGTGACTCAAATTTCACATAAGAATGCTAATAGTTGATTAATTAATGACATATTAATATAAGTAAATAAAAATATTTTAATAAATCGATATTTGTTGAAGTAAGCACATGGTTTTATAACTTCAGTTGATAAATGAAACACACAGAAGGCTGTAAACATTGTAATAAGCTTATTATACATACTGAGAATAAAGTATCTCTCAGTATGAATATGTTTTGGGAGAAAAGTTCAAGGTATTGTTTTGTTTTTTTCTTAAATCTATTCATTCCCCCTCTTTGTTTTTATTTTATTTTTTAGGATTTTGGCCCCCAACAGTAATTATCAGGATATTGAGACCCTCTATAACTTCCTAATCAAGTATGAGGTAGGAGAAATATTTTTAAATGTTTATCATATTCCCATTACAGTCAAGTTTTAATATAAACAAATAGAGGTGTTCTAAACTGGAATGCTATTTAATTGCTGTTTACTTTAAGTTCTTAAATGCCACCAAAATTTGCCAGCGACATTCATTGTCTTTCATTCTCTTAAGTAAGCACATGTAGTAGAGACCTATACTAATACAACATGGAATTGTTTCCCATCAGGGATGCTGTTGGTATGCTGGATAGGTCATTTCTTCATTGTGTGGAACGTTGCAGGATGCTTCAACATCTCTGACCCTCGGATACTAATGCCAGTACTCTCTCAGTCATTGTGACAACCAGAAATACCCTCCCACCGCACCCGACTCATACACCCAGAGGGCCCCTAGGGAGGCGGAACCACCTCCGCTTGAGCACCACTGATTCCTGAGAAGGAAAGCTATAATTTAGTTTTCTCCACAGCAGCAGCATAGACCCTGGAATTAAAGCTCTGATGAGGCTCCAGTGTAGTTTGTAAATTAATCTGCATGCTTTTCTTATCCTTGTTGATCAAGGCAGGTATTCTGTTGATTTTTTGTTTGCCTAAAGTTCTTTGCCCATGTGCCCATATATTCTTTCTTTTTGAGGGTGTGTGTGTTTAAGTTTAAAATGCTCTAAATATAGGAATATAACATATATTCAGGTGTCCCTTTTCTTGTGAAGTTGAACATCTTTATATGTATTTCTTTGCTTTCATTCCTGATTAGCTCTTCAACTTTTTTTTTTTAAATTTAAAAGAACATTTTGGTCTGGCTCTGCTGGGTCTTTGTTGATGTGCAGGGGCTTCCTCTAGTTGTGGTGCACAGGCTTCTCGTCATGGTGGCTTCGCTGGTTACAGAGTGTGGGTTGTAGAGCACAGGCTCAGTGGTGGAGGCTCCTGGGCTTAGTTGCTCCGAGGCGTGTGGAATCTTCCTGGAGCAGGGACCAAACCTGTGTACCCTGTGTTGGCAGCTGGATTCTTCACCACTGACCACCAGGGAAGTCCTCTTTAACTTTCTTATGCCACATCTTATATTAAGAACCTAGTGTTGAAGAACACAGACTCTGAAATCAAACTAGTCATGTTCAAATGTTGGTTCTGCCTCCAGTTAAGTGTGTAATCTTAGAAGAGTTATCTTATTCTCCTTGTCTCAGTTGCCTCATCTGTAAAATGGGAGTAACATAAGTAGGCAAATTACAGCTATTCTTTAAATAAGACTAAATAACTTAATATGTGTAAAGTGCTCCAAACAGTACCAGGCACAAAGTAAGTGTTCAGTAAGTGTTACTTTTCTTATTTAAGGAACGAATGGTGTTTATATGTACCTTTTAAAAGTTACCCTTAATATGTTCAGTTCAGTTCAGTCGCTCAGTTGTGTCCATCTCAGCGGCCCCATGGACTACAGCAGGCTAGGCTTTGCTATCCATCATCAGCTCCCGGAGCTTACTCAAACTCATGTCCATCAAGTCGGTGATGCCATCCAACCATCCCATCTTCTGTCGTCCCCTTCTCCTCCTGCCTTCAACCTTTTCTAGCATCAGGGTCTTTTCCAAGGAGTCAGTTCTTCACATCAGGTGGCCAAAGTGTTGGAGTTTGAGTTCCCAGCATCAGTTCTTTCAATGAATATTCAGGACTCGTTTCCTTTAGGATGGACTGGTTGGATCTTCTTGCAGTCCAAGGGACTCTCAAGAGTCTTCTCCCACACCAAAGTTCTTAATGCTGTATAACCACGTTTATGTGATTATTAAGATAATTTCCTCTTTTGAGATGATTTGGTGAAATAATTATTTCATCATACTTTCTGAATTTCAATCCAATAGAAATTTATTTGGAGAAACAATGGGACAATTTAAAAATCCTATAACCTGGAAAAATCTGATATATAGGTCTTTTTGGGGTTTAGCACTTTATATTGCTGAGAGCATTGGGAGAAAATACCCAATTTGTTATTTATAAGAATATGTGGATCTGAGTCCCAGATTTTTAAAGTTATTTCTATTAGCAGAACTTCATCCCCAATACCAATTATTACATTGGATGTATTTTTCTCATAAACAGTGATAGGGATAATCTAAATTTTTTAAGATGTTTGGCTGTTACTATACTTAACCTTTGCTTCCTGATCTTGGTTTTTTAAGAATTAAGAATAATATGACCATTTCTCATATTTGGCACTCACTGTTAATAAGTTACAACTAAGAATTAATGATACCAATTCCATTTTACAATCATAATTCTTGATGTTTACTGACAAGGGGTATCTTTTAGTTATTTGTTTTCTGGGAATTAAAATTGTGCACTTAAGCACAGAGATGATACTTAATAGTGTAATTTGAAACATCCTAATATAACTAATTTAAAATATCTTGTATCAAAACTAATGAAGCTAGTGAAATGATATATTTCAGCCTAGAGCCTGTGATGTATGTCATGAATCTGTGTTTTAGTTTTCCTTTATTAGTAGGTTCACTGCCTACTTTAGAAGTCATCTACTATAACCTGGAGTCACATCACCCCAGCCATGTTCTGGGATAAGGGTTTGAATAGATGTGGGTGATTGTTTTCAAAGCTACAGATAAATCAGGTTTTTTTCCCTAAAATCTGCTAATGGCTTCAAGAACTTCTTTGTATTTATATTATGTCAAGTTCAAAATCGGTTCTTCAGCTGGTTTTTCTCAACAGTTGATAGAGAATAGAGTATTCCTTTTATCTTATGATGAAAGATCTGCAGTGTTGGCTGTTGACATTTGCTGGCCTAAGTCTGGATACATTTGTAGGTCCCAGCATGTTGGGGCAATAGTGAAAATATCAAAGGCCCTGGAGATCATCAGGGCAGAATATGTAGAAAAATAGGAATCAGACTGGTTGATAGGTTAACTCTAAGTGTATATCTTAAAACATTTTTAGAAGATTATTTTAGTAGAAATTATAAAGTACCTAAAAGTTAATCATGATAAATCATATACCACTTTCTTAAATCATTAAATATAATAGTAAGTATTATGTATAATTAAATAACATTGAACTATATATAAATATAATCCTAATTTTCAGCAAAAATTGAGGATTATATATATTTCAAATTTATATTTAAAAACTGTATGTTTAAAAAACAACAACTGTATGTTTAGTAAATGGAACATTTTCTATACAGATATGTTGAATTTGTTATGAAAATACTGAAAGAAGCTCATGGAACTTGGGAATAAGCAATGCCCTAAACTCTCCAGGAGACTTTCATGATATAAATCTTTAAAGTAGTGTTAATTAAGTCAATGTAGGAACATTTTTCCTCATCAAAAATGTATATGCTAATAATAGCATAAGTATTTTTAAAAGTAAAGTGAATAGATGATAGTCTCATTTAGTTCCCCTTCACTAATTCAGAATTTCAAAAAAGTTAGACAGTATGTTATTTCTTGAGTAATGCGGGGCTAAGGGCTAAGTCGCTTCAGTCGTGTCTGACTCTGCGACCCTATGAACTGTATCCCCCCACCAGGCTTCTCTGTCCATGGGATTTTCCAGGCAAGAACACTGGAGTGTGTAGCCATTTTCTTCTCCAGCGGATCTTCCTGACCCAGGGATTGAACACCTGTCTCTTACGTCTCCTGCATTGGCAGGCAGGTTCTTTACCACTAGTGCCACCTGGGAAGCCCCCCTTGAGTAATCTGATTAAAAGAAATTCCTTCTACAAATTTCCAGATTCTTCCTTGTAGCATAAGTAAAATATTGCCTAAATCAGTGGTAAGTCTCAAGAAGTACAGGATACCTTCACTGTGTTCTCCACATGTGCCACAGAAGTTTTTGTATGATGAAGGACTTTTATTTTTATAGTATTATAAATTGTGAATTATAATAGATATTTATAAACTTAAACATTTGTTTAAATATGTAGACATTGATAGTCGGAAAAACACATTTCTTTAGAAAGTGTCTATAAATCATCCATTTCCCAAAACAGACAGAGTTTTCCACACAGTTTATTACCTTAGTGTTTAAAGTTATTCAGTAATAACTTTCAGAAGGGTCAACAGTAGTATTCAAATGTTGTTAGAGTTGACTACTTAACTTTTTCTTTCAGCTTGAATTATTTCTAATGTTCATGAAATAAACAAGATGTGGCTGATTCTGCTTACAACAGTCTACCTGTATGACCCAAATCTACTTTAGTCCTTTAGGTATAGGTATTAAATGTTAACAATTTATTTACTTTTCCCAGAAAATAAATATTGAATATTAGGACTAGGCTAATTGATGCATGAAATCTGCTGATAAGAGCCAGTAATAGTAGAATTTGATGTTGCATGTATTATACACATTTTTTTTCCTGTCTGTCTGATCTCTAAAGTGATCATCTGCTTTGTTGGGAGTCCCGCAAATCCCAGGACCATCTCACTTCTTCTGGTTCTGTTAATAGATTAAGTTGTAACAATAGGACTAATATTTTTACACATAGTTCAGTGTTAAGTGTTACGTTCATTGAACTTCAAATTGTCATTATTTAGTCCTTTTTATGCAAAAGCTAAAAACTTGACATTCTCCTCCTTCAGAATTTGGACCATTCTAATTGTGCTCTCACCTTTCATTTGACTTAATATGTATTTTTAATAGCTATATATTGATTCTTTTCAGGTAAATAAAAATGTCAAATTTACTGCCCAGGAACTTTATGATTGCGTTTCACAGGCTGAGTATCGGTAAGTCGTATATGTATGTATAGTCATATATATATGTATGTAGATATATCAGTATAGCACTGCTTGGTGGTGGTGAATGGTTCTTTTTATGTCTTCACTATACTATGATTTTTTTTTTTAGCCTTTATAAATGTGAAATAGTTCATACATAGAAAAAACTATGTATATATGTATGCACATAGCAAATTTAATTTTTAAAGTAAATTCTCAAGTTTAGGGACGTCAAGGCTTTTTTATATTTTTCAAAAATATTGAAGACTCAGCCCTAAGAGCTTTTGCTTGTGTGGGTTTTATCTATCTGTAGAAATTAGAATTGAGAAATTTGTAATATTTATTCATTTAAATAAGCTGTGTACAGTTTTCGCTGTTCATCTGGCATTTTCCAATAATGAAATCGTATATAAGAAAATAGGAAATTTTTGTTGTGCTCAAATTGTTCTTTAATGTATCAATGCTGTTACAATAAACTGTGTTCAAAGCAAGAGCTGTAGCAAAACTGACTGTATTCTCACTGCTGTGTAATATGCTACTGTATCACTTACCAGTTTATTTGCCATTTATAATTTGCAGATATATTTGTGTAGCTACAGAATTGTATGAGTGGACACAATGACAAAGTTAACTATCAAGGTGGTTCTACTGGTAAAACTTTAGATTGATAAATATGTTTGATGATATCAAGACCCCAGAACTGATAGTCATACACAAATGTATGGCAGCAGAATTATGAAAATTCACTCATTCACTAGATTAAAATAAGTTTTCTAAGAAAATCTGAAGCCAGTTAGGCATGCATCATCTGTTATAGCTGAGAATGAAAATGATTTTTTACCCTAATCGTCAGACTACCAGTTAATCAGTTATATTGTTTATGGGCTTCTGTGGTGGCTCAGTGGTAAAGAATCCATCAGCCATTGTAGGAGACATGGGTTTGATCCCCAGGTCGGGAAAATCCCCTGGAGAAGGAAATGGCAGTCTACTCCAGTATTCTTGCCTGGAGAATTCCATGGACAGAGGAGCCTTGTGGGTTACAGTCATAAAAGAGTCAGACATGACTCAGCGGCTAAACAACTGACAACTCTTAGATATAGATCATTACAGATAATATGCATTTAAAGGTTTGTATACTTGAGATTTGGATCAAAAATATAATGTCTTCCAGTCTTGGCGATATTTTTGAAGGTGTATAAAGCTCCATATATAAGTTGGAGGGCAGAATCCCTTGCAGGGTGGTTCCATTAAAATGTCTAAAATTATTTTGACTTCAGCGTACTATTTAAATGTTTGTGAAGTTTTTTTTTTGGTATATTTTGTTTTGGAGAGGGGAAGGATGCAAGTGTCAAACTTAAATGTTCAAAGTTAAAGTAGTAGTACCTATTTTTCTCTTTGTTTTCTTTGCACTTAACGATGCCAAGAATTTGAGCTTTGATATTAATTAATAAGCTCCCTCTTACATCCTGAAAGGGTGATTTTAAAGAGAAATCCAATATGTCTAATATCTTGAATGCATTGGAAAATGGCAGTTGCTGTTCAGTGGACTTTTGAAGTTAATAGCTTTTGGGTTTGTTGCTCTGTTGTTTTTCTGAAATTATTTGCTATATTTTCAGTGAATGGTACCTCCCATATGCACCTCTGGTATACTCCACAGCTCACAGTTTTCAAGTGAGTTGCCAGAAGACAGAGGTTCTTTTTGTTTCAGTAGTTCATACTAGACACAGCGCCAAATGCAATAGATAAGAGGTAGCAAAGCTTCCCTGTGACTCAGAAGTGAAAACGGAAGAATGATTTAACTTCACTATATTAAGAAAAACAATTACTTAGATTGTCTGACTTTGCTAATCTTTGTTTTTGATTTGTGACATGTTATTTGTGAAGGAAGAGGCTGTTGATGTGTCTAACATCAAATGTATTGCAATAGGGAAGAAATTAAGTAGCTCAAGAAGAAAACTATTTTATAGGTTCTGATAAGGCAGGTAATTAAAGTTTCACATTGAAAGTGGCTTGGACCAGAATTTGAATTCCATGACACAGCAGAACCTTGGTGTTTCTGTGTATACATCAGTTCGTGTTTTCTCTCTTCTGTAGTTTGTAGATTCTTTGTCCTAGTTTTTGCTCTTGCCAGTGGGGTCTGAGCACTGCTTACCCTGAGCAGATGAGGAGTTTGCTCAGAAAATCCAGGATGGTAAATTAATAAGATTATCAAATAAATTGCTAAATAAATATCTTGTGTGATATCCTCTATTGATACATATATGAAAAATTAGTTAGCAGTAATGTTTAATTCACTTTGCTTGACCCATATATTCTTGACAGAATGTTCTGGCATGTTCACAAGACAAGTCTCTAAGGTCATTTTTTCTGTGTGAAATGCACATTGGTTTGTGACATCAGCTCCTTCAAGTACCTGGTATATCCAAATAATATGCTGCCTAAGGCACGAGTATCAGGAACAACTTTGTTTTCCTTATGGCAAGAGCTTTCCGGAATTACTGTTTTCTGAACTCCAGGGATCAGCTCTGTGGTAGTATCACCTTAGAGCTCTGGTTCTCTGAATTGTGGTTCCTGGAGCTGAGTGTTAGCACCATCTGGGAACTTGCAAGAAATGCAAACTCTAAGACTCTAGCCCAGACCTTCTGAATCAAAAACTGTTCATATACTGTTGTTATATGCACTACATTGTATTCCATTTTCCCTTTACTTGAGATGCACATTGCAAGTGTTTAGAAACATTAAGAGAGCTGTAAAGCAAATAGCCATTGTACTCTTTTCCTTGTACCTAGAAAGGATTTTGGAAAAAATACTGGAAGTAGGGCACTTCAATTCACTACTGCCATGCCACTTTGACAAAATTAGCTATGGAAATGAATCAGATAACTGCTGCAGTTATTTTTTTATGGATTTGATCAAATTTCTGCTTATTTTGACCCATCTTGAGATTTGGTCAAGTTTAGTTTCAGACTCATAATAGGATGATTTAGAAAATCAGTGGCAGTTCTGTAGAAATCTCATGAACAATACAGAATTGCAGAACTAGAAGCAGTCTCCAGTCTTTAGCTTTTTTCCAGAAGGGATTAGGAGTTGGGATTGTTTAGTTTGGCAAAAAAAGAGGACCACCTGTAAGGGACATAAAATATCTGTACTATTGGAGGAAACAGGGATAACAACTTCTTGTTTTGTTTTAATTTAGGCAAACAGCTTATAGATTTTTTTTTAAGCCCAATGTAAAGAAAGAACTTTCTAGCAATTAAGAAATATCAGAATAGGTAATAGGCTTTCTCTCAGTTGTAAATGTCTAATCTGCAAGAGGTAAAAGCTAAGGTGAGATAAGTCATTGGAGATGCTACAGAACAGTAGGCAAAGGTGTTAAGGTACGCAGTATCTAATATTCTGCTATTCTGCTTCTAATCCATTGGGGAAAGGAACTCAAAAATTCCTATCATCATAGTCTGGTATTGGCCAAACACACATGATGGTGTGTTTGGTTGAGACTAGAAAAACATCTGATACTTTCCTCAGCAGCAATGACAACTTGATGCAGGAAGCAAAATCTGTAGGTGATAATCCATATTCAGAATGCTAACTCACACAAATAAAGAAACTAAATGCCACTAGGATGAAAAGAGGGCATAGGGCTTACCTCTTGAGAGGAGGAAAAAGAGAAAGAAGAAAAAAGAAAAGACACCAAAATACATTAGAAGTCTAGTTATTAAAAGTTTTTTTCCACATGTAGAATAAGTAACCAAGAACAGAAATAGGGACCTACCCTTTTTGTTTATTTCATTTTTAAGTTTATAGGAAAACATTTTACATCTCTCCTATTTTGAATCTCTTAGAGTCTTCTGAAAATCATTTTCGGAGTAGTTGTAAAGAACTGACAAGAACATAACACTGATTTTAAGCACTCCAAATATAGGAAATAGGTGTAGAGTAACAGAGTCAAAAGCCTCACCACATGTTTTCAGGAAGTGAGGCCTCTCCAAAAATATAGTGTATTTACTTTGCTGCCAGTGTTAGCTCTCATCCTATTCCTTCAGTTCTGATTCACTTCTTTTCCCTTTGTGCCCTGCATCAGGGGATCCATGGGTGGGGGAGGAGGGGTAGTGTGCTAAGGTAGCTAGGAGTCCTTCCCAATACCCTGGAGGTGGCTCAGAGCAATCTCAGAAACCAAAGAAGTAATAGCAGTGTACATGCTGCTTAGTTGTTCAGTTGTGTCTGACTCTTTGTGGCCATTTGGACAGACTCCTCTGTCCATGGGATTTTTCAGGCAGGAATACTGGAGTGGATTGCCATTTCCTCCTCCAGGGGATCTTCCCAACCCAGGGATCGAAACTGCATCACCTCAGTCTTCTGCATTCAGGCAGATTGTTTACCCACTGAGCCACTGGGGGCTTCCCAATAACCGTGTAACTTTCATAATAAAATAACTGCTGTTTTCTGACGCAGTGCTGGATACTGGGTATCCTTCATGAATTTATGCAGACAACCTCTCAGATTTAAATGGGTTTCCAGGGGATTTGAACTCTAGACACCATGTATAATGGGTTGGTACTCTAACTGATGACTTAGTGATCCCACAGTTAATAGGCCTCCTGTCAGCTTTTGAGATTCAGCTAAGCTTAATCTTAGATACAGTTGTGAGTAGTTGGGGCAAATATCAGGTATTTACTACCTCCTTCCTCACTTCTGGTTTAGAGTAGTTAACTAGTATTCATTTGTTAATGGCTAAGTTATCAATTCTCTTTTAAGAGTCAAAGCTGTCAACTTCCTGTCCCCTGTCCAGCGTCTGTTCCTGTCTGGAGTTGTGTTGTCTTAGAATCCACTAGTCTTGGGACCTTTAACTCCCAAACCAAAGAAAACAAAAATATGTGATCTACTCCACAGTGCTCTTATTGGCAGCAGGTCTTCCTTGGAAACTTTTATTCATGAATTCAGTAATATCCCCAAGATCGTCTCCTTGATGACTGTCTAAGAATTGCATTACTAAGTTGTTTATCCTCCCATGTTGCTTGGTTCATTGGAAGGACTGATGCAGAAGCTGAAACTCCAATACTTTGGCCACCTGATGTGAAGAACTGACTCATTTGAAAAGACCCTGATGGTGGGAAAGATTGAAGGTGGGAGGAGAAGGGGACCACAGAGGATGAGATGGTTGAATAGCATCACCAACTCAATGGACATCAGTTTGGGTGGACTCCAGGAGGTGGTGATGGACAGGGAGGCCTGGTGTGCTGCAGTCCATGCGGTCACAAAGAGTTGGACACGACTGAGCAACTGAACTGAAGAAACCATTTCTCTAGGCATTTTTACTCTCAAATATCAAATAATATATTCCAAATCCCAGTGTTCTCTTTTTGTAGTGAGATTTTTTCATTTATCTGGCTGACTGTCTTATAGTCACTTAACGTTTCTTTCTCCTCTAGGGAAAAGTTAAGCATTGGATGCCGCCAGCTGATTGAGATGGAATATACCATGCAGCAGTGCAATGCCTCTGTCTATATGGAGGCCAGAAACAGGGGATGGTGTTAAGACATGGTCAACGATAGGACCTGAGTGCCGATCTGTAACTTAGAAGGAACTGTATTTGTCTTCAGAAACAACAGAGTACTTTTCAACCTTTTGTGCCAAACGCGAGAGGCTTGCAAGAAATCTCATAGGTATAAAAAGATGATTGCCTAATACTGACAATCTCATTGAGCTTCTGTTGCATCCATTGTGGAATAAATCATGGACTCAACTCTTTAGAAGTTGACCTTAACTCCCTACCTCTACTCTTAATACTGAGCCAACATGACTAGGAAAGGAGAGCCATCTTTACATCTTAGGGCAAGAGCCACCGTGGCACCTGAGGAAGGCCAGGGCACAGAATTCGCATCTCCCTCAACCCCAGATATGGGTTCGTGACCAGAGACACATTCAAACCTCAAGAAAGAATTAGGGCCTGACCATGCTCATCATATTCCACAAGAGAAATCTTACCCTGGGCTGTTTTCTGATTGGACTGTCTTCCATGTAGACCTGGTGAAGTAATCACATCCCTTTCACTTCCCCCAAGGTAAGGGAAGTAGAACTTTTACTTCAGCTCCACTCTGCAGTAGCCTCTTCTCTTCCCCACGCGTGTCACCCTTCAGTGAGTTTCTAATGGGAAGAGCGGGCAGACCCCTCTCCCCAGTTTCCTCTGAAATGTGAAGCAGCATAGACTTATGGGATCAGGTGGTAGTGGCTGATGTTTGCCCCTAGCTAAACCAAGTGTTTAATTGACTTATTTCGTTATACCATAAACTGGAAATCCTTGTTTACTAAAGTATATTATGCTGTTGTTAATACATTTGAGTAAATATGATTTAGTATTCTATTACAAATATTAATTTATTTTTTTAAGCAATAAATTATTTTTAGTGATTTTGCTTTTCATCTTACTTCCAAATTTTGTTTCTGAACTATATAGAGGTATGACTATAAAAGTGACCCTCTGATAAAAGAGAATTATGTGAAGTGCTCACTATCAGGAAGAAGGATTTGATAAGCTTTGTTTGCATAGAAAGCCACACCTCCTCCTAGGGGCTCAAAGTGCCCTCAGAGAAATGAGCCCTTGTAGAAGGAGAAGCTTCCAAGGCATCTCTGCTGTCTTGTCAGGAGCCAAGAAAGCATCCCCTCGCCTTAACAAAAGAGCTCTCATCAGATTTTTCTTCCTTAACTACTTCTAGTTATTATTGCATTTTGCTCTGTTTGGAATTGTTTGTTGTTTTGTTTTTTTTTTTTGGTGGTGCCTCAAAGTTTGCAGGATCTTAGTTTCCCAACCAGGATTAAACCCAGGGTCATGACAGTGAAAGCAGAGACCTAACCGTGGACTCCGTGGAACTCCCTGCTCTGCTTCATTACCTCCTTTTTCCCTTTTATCTTTTTAATATGTTTTACTTTTTAGGAAATTTCTTTTCACTCTGGTCATGACTTATTTCACCCTATATATGTGGATTTTAATTTTATCCTAGTCTTTGTGTCTTTCACTTTCTGCATTGTCAGTTTTCAACCTTTTATTTAAATATTTATTATAAGATGTAAAAGTGTTTTCTTCTTTCTAGTCTTATTTTTATCTTTGGCAACATTCTTAAAAATTTTTTTAGTGTTTGTTTCTTTGAAATGTCAGATTTTTTTGTTGTTGTTGCCTTTTCCTGATTTTAAACTTTCTGCTTTTTTCCCCTGATAGTCCATTGCAGGAGTTGAGGGCTTCCTTTCCTCTTGTCCCCTGCTTTTTTTCTGGATCTCCTCTCTGGATTGGAGTAACTTAGTCAATGTAACCATCATTTAAGCACTCCCTTGCACAGAACATAAATTTGTTTTGATGGGAAATTATCAGATCTTTAGAAGAACTTCAGGTTTTAAAATCTCCATTCAGTATGGATAGCTGTTGTATTTTGTTTGGGCAGAAGCTTTATATGCATGCTGTGAACCAGAGGGGACTGATGAGGAAAGGTCCAATGAGGGGAAGAGCTCTCTGTGTAATACCTTGCCTTAGTGAGGAGCTGTGATAACTGAGACATAGCACCCAAGGATTATTCCAGTAGGGTTGGAACCATCTTATACCAGCCTTTCCTAGCTCACTTCCACAGACCGTTTGTCTCCTTCTAGGAAGGACCTGGTTTGAATCCTCTTGTTTGCAGCTGCCATAGTTCTCCAGCATTCTGAGCAAAGTGAAGCTGGCTCAAGAACGTCGTGTCCTACCGGGTCCTCTCGTTAGGACCTGCAGTGGGCAACTGGAACTGCACACAGTGGAACTTATCAGACGAGTTCATTTCACTTTTCTAGCATTGTCTTTGCCTGTCATATGAAAGACAGGGGACCAAGACCAACCTGAAACTTTACTTCCTTGATCTTTTGGCCATCATCTTAAAAACAGAAGTCCTTGCACCCTTCCAAGGTTGACCCACTATTATTTAGTGTTTTGGTCTCCCGTAAGAGCCTAGTTCTTTTTTTTTTTTTTTTTTTTAGGGAT